AAGACTGGTCAGTGAGTGACAGGAACAGAAATATGAACATACCCGGCAGTGATGGTACACGCCTTTAATCCATCCCAGCCCTTGGACGGCAGAGGCAAGGAGATCTGAGTTCGAGGTCAGTTTGGACTACAAAGTGAGTTCCAGGACAGCCAGTGCTACACAGAGAAACCCTATCTCAAAAAAACAAAAACGAAACGAACAACAACAACAAAAAATCAGAACAGTCTAATTTCTTGCCTTTGTTAAGACTTTGAGCCCAAAGAATTAAAAGGAAGGGTTTGGAGAGATGACTCAGCAGTGAGGAGCGCTTGTTGCTCTCGTGGAGGACCTGGGTTCAATTCCTAGAAACCAGGTAGCAGGTCAAAACTGTCTGCAGCTCCAATTCCAGGGGATCTGATGCCCTCTTCTGGTCTCTTCAGGTACTGCATGGGAAAGAAAAAAACAAACCAGATCCACCCACTCTACCACACGGATGAGTCCTAACAGTCGAAGGAACTAAGTACAAAGACCACATATTATTTGAGTAGCAAAGAGAACTTAACTCCCCTTGAGGGTACCTGACCAGGAGTAGAGCAGTGTTGAGAACGTTAAAGTTTCTTTTTAGAGATCAGGCCTCAGTAGCCTTTGCAGGGCTAGAGCTCTATGCGTTGGCCAGGCTGACCTTGAACTCACAGAGTTCTGACTGCCTCCTAAGCCAAATTAAAGACATACATGCATTCATAACTCATGCACATAAAATTAAATCAGAAATTCTTAAAATAGATTTCTAAATTTAACAAGAAGCATCTGTTGGGCCGGGAACATAGCTCAATAAATAACTCATTTGCTTTGCAATCCCAAGGACCTGAGTTCAAGGCCAGAACCCACAGAGGTGCAGTAGGCAGGGTGTTAGGTGTTTGTAATCCCAAGGCTGGGAAAGCAGAGGCAGGAGGATACCTGAAAGTTATTGTCCTGTCAGTATAACCTAATTGATGAGTTTCAAGCCAATGAGAAACCTTGTCTCAAAAGAGACAGACAGCATTCCTGATCCAAGCCAATGAGAAACCTTGTCTCAAAAGAGACAGACAGCTTTCCTGATTCAGGACAATGAGAAACCTTGTCTCAAAAGAGACTGATAGCATTCCTGATCCAAGCCAATGAGAAACCTTGTCTCAAAAGAGACAGACAGCATTCCTGAGGATGGCTCTCAAGATGGTCCTCTGACCTCCACACATGCATTTGCAAGTGCATCTGTACCCATGTGAACACGTACACACACACAGACACAGACAGACAAACACTGCACATGTGCAGATTTCTGCAAAGCATTGACTGCCTTTAAATGAGGTCTAGTCTCCCATATCCCAGTGTCCTCCAGATCAAAGATATTAACACATAGGGTGAGAGTCTTGAGTTGGAACATGGCCAGTCAGTGGAAGGGGAAGAAAGAAAGGTATTCCAGGGCATCTCCAAGAACTATAAGGAGGCTTTACTGTCCGTAAAGGAACAGGCCTCACTTCTCTGAGGGGACTGGCCAGCTGTCTGGAGTAAGACGCAAGGAAGAATTCACAAGAGCGTGAATGCCTCAGGTCAGTCACTGCAAACCATGGCTGCAGGAGAGATGAAAATTACGCACTTATACAGCATCAGAACGGGAAATGGAAGTGGGAGAGTGTGGACAGGGATGTTACTGTGTGACTACTGAGCCCAGAATAATACCTGATCCTGCAGAACCAGCTGTCCTAGCCCTGGGCTGGCCCCAGCGAGGATCTCAAGAACAGAGAGCTCACCATTCACTGGGAGGAGCATCCTAAAACCACTGCTAGGGCCAAGTGTTGAGTGCAAACCATGACATGAGCATGCATCCCAGCAAACTGGCAAAGCTAGCAGGGCGGGGCTTGAGGCCATGGGATGGCGTGTACAACCTATGTCAAAACAGTTGGAGAGACTTTCGGAAGACAAAAGACTTGAAGGGTTGGTTGATTTCCTGTGGTCCCTACATACCCTGGGCAAACTTCAAAGAGCATGAGGTCAGTCAGCTCGACAATGCTCCCCATAGAAGGGCCCAATTTCAGACATACAGACCCGGTTTCTAGCCTGAATAAGCAGGAGGTTAGCAAGTCTGCCACTGTTGCGAGAGATCACCCACTGAGGCCGGTGGAGAGGTGTCTGCCTTTGGAGCGTGGCGAACGAGTCGGATCCCTTCCACTGAGACCTGGGAGAGGGCATTTCTTTGTTGGTTGTTTATTTTGTCAACTCTACATCTCCTCACCAGAAAGGGATGCTATGAATGTCACCCGCTGATAAATGCTGACTGGGTGTCTTCTCATTGTAGGAAGAGAATGTGAATGGCTTTGTTTGCACAGAAGAAACCCGCAGCTTGTCACAGGGTAGGGTCACTTTGCTCTAGTCTGGAAGCTCAACAGGTGGAGACTCGGTTTGACGCAGAGTAACGGGGGCGGGCGGTGAGGTTGGTTATGAGACCCTTCTCTCTGGCCTGAAATGCAGTCTTCTATGCTCTGCGCTCTGCTGCTGTGCAGACCACACTTGGCCTTCCCAGGTCTCCCCCGCAGCACCCCCAGCAGGCAGGTTTCCTCACACCTTTGGCCTCTCGGTACCACCAGAGCAACCCTTTTACACTCTGATATCAACAGATCTGGCAACGGGTTACCATTCCCTCTGCACTGGGAAGTCTCCCTTAACCAGTTGCCACCCCTTAAGGCTTGGTGACACCATCCAGCCAGTGCCTCATCCTCAGTGGTCTGAACTTGATTGGGGGGAGTCTCTCCTTGGAGGTATAGAGATTGGAATAACCTCAGTAGGCTACCTGCCTACTTCCGGCAGCTCCCACCTCCACCAGAGCCCAGAGCTGTTCTCCTGTCCTGTCAATTCTCCCAGTCACCTGCTGGCAATAAACAGTTGGTTTTATTGTCTTATTTTGGGGTTTTTTTAATTTATTAATTACATGTATTGCGTTGCTGTGGGAGGGGCTATGCATGTAAGCGTAGGCACCCCAGGAGGACAAAGGCAGCTGCATGTATGTAGAGCATACACACACTGACTGGTGTCTTCCTACATCACTCTCCATATTGTTAGGAGCTGTCACTAAGTCTGAAGTTCACTGATTGCCTAGGCTGGCCGCCCAGGGAGCCCCAAGGACCCTAGAGCTGTAGCTACAGACTTGCCCAGAGTCTTCTAATGTGGGAGCTGGGACCAAACTCTGGTCCTCATGATTGCACTGCAGGCACTTCGCAGACTGAGCGCTCTCCCAAGCCCCGTAAACTGGATTTAGGGAAGAATATACTACATTATAATAAGAAACCCAGCTCTTTCCCACAGTTTATGAATAATCCTTACAGTGACACTAAGATACAAAGATGCTCTGGAATTTTAAAGGCCAGGAACTTCTTGCCTCTTGCCTCAAAATGAGGAGACCAAACTAAGAAAATTCCCCACCACAAAAAACTTAGGAGTGTTTTTTTGGTTCTGTTGTTTTTGAGAAAAGGTCTTTTGTATCCCAGGCTGGCTTCACATTTACTACATAGTTAAGGATGACCTTGAACTTCCAATCCTCCTGCCCCCAATCCCAGGGCTAGGATTATAGACGTGCGCCTCTAAGCCCAGTTTATGGAGTGAGAGGGATCAAACCTGGGGGTTCCTGTATGTTAGGCGATTGTCTACTAATAGCCACACCCAGACTTTGTGGGTTGCTTTGCTTTTGTTGTTGTTTTTGAGACAGGTTCTCGCGTAGCCCAGGTTAGCCTCCAGCTTACTACATAGCTGAGAATGACCTTGAATTCATGATCCTCCTGCCTCCATCTCTTGAGCCCTAAGATCTTAGTGTCTGCCCTCATACCTGACTAGAAACTATTAAAATATTTTCTTAGCTATCTAGTCGGGAGTTAAAGTCAAAACAAAATGAGAAAACATTAAATACCACAAACATAAAACTTTTGACCCAAATATGACATATAGTGAAGCTAATTCTGCTCAATGGGACAGCTGCTTTGGAAAACCCACTGATAATTTCCTAGAAAGGTAAACTTAGATTTACCATATGACTCAGCACTGAGTCTGATAGGGAATTAAAAACACGCATACAGAGAACTTGTACACAGCTGTTGGCAGCTACACTTCCATAACAGCTAAAAATAAAAAATAAGAGCCACTGACACGTCTGTCAGCTAAGGGAGGGGTGGGAAAATGCGCTGTGTGTGCGGTGTGTGATGCGACCCTGAAAATGAGTACCTAAGAGGGCTGCAGTGCTTGCCTTTAACCCAGCTCTTGGGCAGCAGGTGTCCAGTCTACAGGCCAGCTGGGTCTACAGAGCCAGTTCCAGGCCAGCTAGGGCTACGCAGAGAAACCCTGTCAATAAATAAGTAAATAAAAAGTTGGGTCTGGTCTGTATGGTCAGCACCCTTCAATGTTTACGTCTCCCTAAGTAAGCTGAGCTGCTGCTGGGTTGGGTTGGCAGCTCTCAGACCCTTCCTGTACGTACCTGAGAGCCGTCAACTGAGCAGCCCCTCTTGTGGAGACCAGCCTGACTGTCCTCATAAGTCTGGCTGCTTTGAGCACTTCGCGGACAGGCTGAGGCAAGTGTGTTCCAGCCAATCCCTCCTGGCACCTTACGTTGGCACCGGAGGACTGCGCAGCAAAGAAGTATTTCAGACGACCCTGCACAGCTGCAGCTATCCTCACTTCCAACAGAAGGTGGCGCACTTCACCCTGAGAATCAGGGGGGGAAAGCCTGTGATCGACACACCGCCAGGTTTGGAATTCATTTGTAACCTTGACCTGTGACTGGTATATATGGAAAGCCTGTAACCGGTGGAAAGGACAGTTGTGCACACACAGGGCTGTGGTTGGTGGATAAGAATCACCAGACAAGCAGGCCATGTCCCTCTCACGGCTGTTAGCCATGTACCTCTCATAGCGGGCTGTTTCCACTGTTTCCGGGTTAGGCTAGGATGCATCTCACCAATGCACTTCCTCCATCCCGGTGCACGGAGCAGCGTTAGGCTCAGTGGTCTCCCAGATGAGCTCTTTATGTTCGTGATTTTTATCACGACTTGAGCAGTCCGGACACAAAGGACAGACAGACTCTGGCTTCCACTGGTGAGGACAACAATATTGACAAGGAGAAAGTAGCTGAGTTACTGAGATTTACCAAGAGCTAGGGCCCCTACCCTGAAGTCTCAGAACTATAACACCAGCCGGTCCAAAGAATTATATAACTCTAGATTGCCACCAAAGAATCCCAAATATAACCAAGGATAGACATCACAAGGAGCCAAATTTGGTGGCTGACTCCAATAATCCTACACCTGGCAGCAGGATCTCTGTGAGTGTGAGGCCAGAATAGCTAAAGATAGGAGCTCAAAGTACAAAATACTGAAAGCCCCAGCTACTAGAAGTGTTGGAGCTAGCTGACAAGTGTCACGGAGCCAAGAGTCCCAACACCCCAAGCTCAGGGGCTGTAACTCCAACCACCTGATACTGGTACTAAAAGTGATGAACTTCTACCTTTAGTGGCTTCGAAAGCTTGGAGACATAGGCCTCTAGCTTTGGGTCTGGAACTCAGGACAGTCGGCACTAGGGGTATTTGCTCCTTGCAGTTTCAAGGTTTTTGTCCAGATAAAGCAGAGTCCCAGCTACCTGTTTGTGACAGTGTGAGTCCAGTTATATGAAATACACGTGCCAAGTCAATGCACAGTGGCAGGAACTAGATTCTAGATTCACTGTTGCCTGGAGCTACTGGGTACCACTGCTAACACGCACGGAGTCCTTTTGCGTGTTCGTATTGCTTTTCGGTGTTTTTAATACAGTCCGATCCAAAGCCCGATGTCTGCTTCATTTCAGCTCCAGTACTGCCAAGCCAGGGGAGAGGGACTGCTTCAGTTTCTCTGACTTCTCCTGGTCCGTGTACACCTCCCTCCGTACACCAGGCTGTGATG